TGGAATTACTAATGTTGTGATATTAAGTTACAGATACAAAATAAATTGTGCTCGTTTGTGCACTATTGTGGTGATTTTATTTTAAAATTATATCTATAAAATTACATAAACAATCTTATTACTAAAAGTGACATTTTTTTTTTGTTTTTTTGGTAGAACAAAGGTCAAAAAGGTCTTTCCACCTCCAATCCCACGTCTCCTATGCCAATTATTAATTCTATCCTTTGAGAGCACGATTATTTGCATCACTGAAAATGAGATTGAAAGTTGGTGAACATAAGCAGCCCATCAGATTTTTAATTCAATTTCAATTACATGATAAAGAATGGGGATTAAGTACAAGGAACATCTCAATTTTTAATCCATTATTTGCTTAGCTCAGTATTAAAATTTTGACAATTTTAATATTGGTATGGACATTAAATGGAAAAAAAAAAAAAAAAAGATTAAGTAATACCATAGGGATTGTGGTATTAAGTAAATTAGGCATCTCTAGATTATTTTTCAATTTCATCAAAAGATAAAAAATAATTATTTCTTTTGTGTCATCTTAACAAGTATCTCTAAACACTTGTCAACCAATTTCTAGTTAAATTTTTCTTAAATTTGGGGGTAAGAGAATTCTTGCCATCTAATTAGACGATGCCATAAAACATGGGTTCCAAATCTTTAATCACATTGGTATAGTGATCTTTCATTATATATTTTAGATGGCTTTTCTCGATAAATTAATGTTGTTACTATGTTGTGACTTTATTTAGAAGGTTATGATAAATTTATTTTCATGATTACATATTTTTAATTTAATATTGTTACAATCATAGAAATATTTGATCACCAAAGTCTCCAATTCTTCATAAATATTTGCATCTAAACACATAAATTTTTCATATTTTTTATTTTATTTTATATGTATAGGTGCTCACATTTATGAGATATTCGTGAGATTTCAATGCATTTTTTTTTTGCGTTCCTATTTTTCCCTTTTAAAATTGGTTTTCTAGGTACATGCCATAGTATGTTGGTTAGGCTTTGGATATAATATATGCATGGGAAAATTCATATCCTTAGAAGAGGCCCTTTAATACTTAAGTCAAGCAATTCTCCAATGCATTTTGTATTTAAGTAATCAATATTCTTTTAATAAAAAAAAAAATGTGATAAGTATTGTATAAAGAGTATGTAAATCTTGAAGTGTGAGATTTTAAGGTTTATTTATAATGATTGATTACTTGTTACTGGAATTTTGATTTCATTTTAGTTAGGAAGAACTTACCAATCAAGTCTGTTTGAATAATGTATAGAGAGGTAGAATAGATTGTATGTATTCATATGGTTAGGGGCTCCTTATATAGGAGACGATTTACAAATTGTAATGATGAAAATCTAAAGCACTAACATTGCACTATACATAAAGTATAAACCACTAACATAAAGCTAACACACTAAGCTAACACACTAACAGCCCCCCTCAAACTCAAGGAGGATAGGAACTAACCAACTTGAGTTTGAAGAGAGTAACAAAACAGGAAAGTAAACTGATAAATAAAAACAGGATAGGAGACACGGTATGGTCGTGTCAGACCGTTGTAGCAGACAGTTTACGGGGTCATGTCGGACCGATGTAGCAGACAGTTTACGGGGTCATGTCGGACCGATGTAGCAGACAGTTTACGGGGTCATGTCGGACCGATGTAGCAGACAGTTGTGGTATTAAGTAAATTAGGCATCTCTAGATTATTTTTCAATTTCATCAAAAGATAAAAAATAATTATTTCTTTTGTGTCATCTTAACAAAACATAATAATACCACACTATCTCTATCAAGTTTTTTATCCCCTTAATCTTATTATATATTCGTTCTTTTATCTTATCTAATCTCATGATATAACACATTCTCACAATTTTATCTCATAAAAAAATAACTCAACACTCTAACATTACCTAAATGTATAATAGGGTTTAGATAGAAATCAAAAGGATGTATTTAAAAGTTCCTAAGAATTAAATACTATAATAACATATCTCTACTTATTATTAGTATTTTACCATAATAACATATATCTACACTTTGTAAATTAAATGATAAAAATGTGTTCGTTGCATTTGTTAACCAAATGTCCTCGTTGTGTATGCTAAATGAATTGTTGACAATTACGTTAAGGGCCTCAATTGACAGAAAAAAAAAATATATATATATATTTTTTTATGAATTACACATTTTAAATTTATAACAAGTATCTCTAAACACTTGTCAACCAATTTCTAGTTAAATTTCTCTTAAATTTGGGAGTAAGAGAATTCTTGCCATCTAATTAGACGATGTCATAAAACATGGGTCCCAAATCTTTAATCACATTGGTATAATGATCTTTCATTATATATTTTAGATGGTTTTTCTCGATAAATTAATGTTGTTACTACGTTGTGACTTTATTTAGAAGGTTATGATAAATTTATTTTCATGATTACATATTTTTAATTTAATATTGTTACAATCATAGAAATATTTGATCACCAAAGTCTCCAATTCTTCATAAATATTTGCATCTAAACATATAAATTTTTCATATTTTTTATTTTATTTTATATGTATAGGTGCTCACATTTATGAGATATTCGTGAGATTTCAATGCATTTTTTTTTTTTTTGCGTTCCTATTTTTCCCTTTTAAATTTGGTTTTCTAGGTACATGCCATAGTATGTTGGTTAGGCTTTGGATATAATATATGCATGGGGAAATTCATATCCTTAGAAGAGGCCCTTTAATACTTAAGTCAAGCAATTCTCCAATGCATTTTGTATTTAAGTAATCGATATTCTTTTAATAAAAAAAATGTGATAAGTATTGTATAAAGAGTATGTAAATCTTGAAGTGTGAGATGTTAAGGTTTATTTATAATGATTGATTACTTGTTATTGGAATTTTGATTTCATTTTAGTTAGGAAGAACTTACCAATCAAGTCCATTCTTAACAAAATTTTGTGAGTAATTTGAATAATTGATAAGATAAGACATTTAGTAACCAAGCCCAAGGCTGAATTTGAGCTAATTTTTTTTTCTCCCCTCAACATTTTACAATTCTTTTGCCATTACGTTTTAAATACTCAATTTTCAGATGATATATGTCTGAAAACATTCACTTTTTTATTTATTTATTTTATTTTATAAAAATCTTGGTTTATTTTGTCTATAAATTCAAAATTTGTAATATTTTTATGGAAAATGTCTTGGACCCCATCACCCCCACTATTTTCTGATTGGTGTATATATATATATATTTTGTCTTTGTCTTCTCTCACAGCCCCCCATGTGGAGGTGAGGGTGCTAGGGTCACCTCCCACTGGGGGTCCTAGCATGACCGTATTTTTATTCATTTGTAATATTGCGATAGATGACTAAAATAGCCATGAGAAAATCATTCATTGTCGATTATTTACTTCCCAAAAAAAAAAAAAAACCCAACATCAAAATGTTACGATTTGCCGACAAAACATACTTGAGCTTAGACTTTATTTATTTTTTGGTAGGATGGTGGCCAAAGCCACCAAGCGAGCTTAGACTTTATATTAAACTGCCAATTCGAAAAAAAAAAGAGTCAAAACTTAGGGGTTAATTTTGACCTAATTACCGAATGCACCTAGTTGAGCTCCTACATACAAGCCAATAGTTCAATTTGGCAGCCACTTAGCTAAGAGTGAGTTTAATAAGCGAAGCATTTCAAATTGACAAATCTTTTTCTTTTTTTTTTTTTTAAGAAAAAAAACTATTAATAAAATTTTTGTATAAATTTACAATTATATATATTTTTAAAAGATGCATAATACCTCTAAATTTATCTATAACAACATGAACAGTTACATTGTTGATTTGTTTAGAATGTAACTGGCTAAGACCCACCTCTCTACCAAAATGTTTGGATTTGTTAAATTTGAAAATTCTAACTCACTGAAGTTGTCGTATTGTCAAACAAATATGTACTCATGTTAATAATTTTAACTGCACATTAGAAAACATATATATATAAAATTAAAATTGATCGGATATAAATAAATTATAAAATCAAATTACATATATATTATAATAAATTGATATTTATTCTTAAAAATATATATGTTCATAGATAAAAATAATTTGATGATATGCCAATCCACGTTGAATCAATTAGATTTTTTTACATGAATTATTTTATCAATTAATTATATGCGATAAATAATTTAAATCACTTAAAATACAATTTAAATTAATCCCATAATAAGCATTGGTTTGACTATCATTTTGGGGTTAAAAAATCATAAAATGACAAAATATAAGTTAAATAAGTTAATAAGATAATATCGCATCCAACTTATAATCATTATATTTTTTTATTACAAAAATAAAAAAAAATAAAAAAATTCAAACCAAATGAGACTAAAAAAGCCAAGTTAAAAAATTTCTAATACAAAAAATTAATTATATTAGCCAATATCAAACGGATCTTAAATCAACATTATAAAATTAAAATTTAAAACCTTAACAAATTCAAATTCACAAGCATATATTAGCCTTGTGATCATAATCCATATAGCAGAGTATGTGGGTAGCAATAATAGTAGTATACTTACTTATCATCTCCACGCGCTCTATTTGACTTCCACAAGCGCGTGAACTGTGAAATTCTGTACTAAGCGTTTCCATTATTGGAAATTAAAAAAATTCAAAACGAGACGTCCCTACAAAACAAAAAAATTTAAAATAAAATAAAAATAAAATTACGAGATGAAATTGCGTCACTTCGTGACCCAACGTTTTTCTCGATCGTGAAAGGCAGCTATGGCCGCACGATCCCCAAAGCCCTCCACGTGTCAAGATCCCAACCAGCCTGGCAAGAGCGTGGGTCACCATGTGGCGAGGAACAAGTCTTTAGGTGGTTGCTCTCGAACCTGCTATAGCCGGGAATACTATGGGCTTTTACCGATTGATCCGGTAATAGGAGTCAATGGTATAAGAGCTGGCGGGGTTTAAGCCAAGCTTGTGTGGGTGGTTTTCAGAGGGTTTTTGGCCATCTCAGAAACAAAGAGAGAGATTGGGAGGAGAGAGAAAATTGAAGGTAGCGTCCCAAAACCACGTTTGTTTTCCGAGAAAACGATTAGGAAAAAAATGGGGTAGATAGAAAGTTCGGATAGAGAGAGAGAGAGAGTGTGTGTGTGTCGTGATCGGTGCGAATTCTGATTCTCTTGGGATCTGTTGTTCTTTGAATTCTATCGGACATATCTCCGATCTTACATGCGCCTGAAAATTCTATGCAATTTCGCTTGAGAGCTTCGTATTTTTTAGGGGAAGATGTTATCTGAACGGTGAAAATCAGCGGCAACAGGTGAGATAGATGATCGAATTTCTTGGTTTCATTGTGGAATTTGAGAAAGTTGTAGTCTTTTTCCTCCAACAGTGCGTTTGGTTGCCGAGAAATTTGAAGGAAAAGGAGAGAAAACTTAGAATCTGACAACATGCCGTGGGTAATTTCGACGTTATGTCAGAGATTCTTTGGTTCTGACAACATGCCGTGGGTAATTTCGACGTTATGTCAGAGATTCTTTGGTTTTCTGTCCATTTCTCTGCAACCAAAGAGAGCATTTTTTTTTTTGGGTTTTATTTTTCTGCTGTCTGAGAATTTGGTCATGCTGTCGATTTGTACTTTCCCTCTCAGATTCCGTTTCTGATGGGTTCGATCTTCGTTTTGTTGTGTAAATTTCGAAAAGATGGTGTCCAAAATTGTGATTTTTTCCCTGAAAACCAGAGAGATGACTGAGATCCATTATTTTCTTTACCTCCGAATCAGCTGAATTATCTCACGTTTTCCCTGATTGATCTGCTTCTTGGGTTTTTAGATCTATATTGGTGTTTGTGTATACATATTATATTCATTTGCAGGGATGTCTGAAATAGTTATCTGTGTTGTTTTGAATGCTATTTTTTTGGTCCTTTCTATCAGGGTTTTGTGAGGGTTTTTCAATAGGACTCTGTTCTTTTCTTTTTTCTTTCTTTCTTTCTTTCTTCTTGGTTTTCCCATAATTTTTTCCTCTTTCTTTTACTGATTTTGGTGATGATATTTATGATTGTAGAGCACTGATTCCCAGAATTCAGGCCAACTGTTTTCTTCCCCCCCCTTCATGAGTGCAATCAATCCTTGTATCTGTCATCAATTATCATCGTGGCAAATGGTTATAGTTGTCTGTTTAGCTGATAAGTGATATAGATGCTGGAGAATCATGGAGTCCCATCTGATTTTCTTGTTTTCCTCATGTCTTGTTGAAATTTAACCTGTGGTGCTCATTGGATACTCTAGTTGTTTGGATCATGCCGATCTGATCTGATGGGACTGCATCCTTGCAAACAAAGCCACTTGAATTATGAAAAGCAGGACAATTTTCCAGGCCTGTTTCTACAAATCTATTTATGTTTTGTTTGATTGTTGTGAAAACAGAAGACAGGATGAACCACAACATCTGTTCCTTTACACTTTAATCTGATAGTGGACATAAACTTGTTTTCCCCTTGTTTGTTTTGCCTTGAATTCCATGTGGCACCTTTGTAGTCTTGAATTTTTGGCATTGTTCTTATGTTATGAATAATTTGAGAAACTTATTAGACTCAACTGAATAAAATCTTTCCATGAATCATGCTTTGCGATTCTGCATTGTCAATTATCCTATTTTTCCATGCTACCGTGTCTTTTATCACTATCTTGACCTGCATGTATTTTGATCTTCCTCCTTCCATGGCATTACCCTCATTGGTAATGATTTTTTCTTTTTGCAGGGTTTGTCATTCTTGCAATGCCCAAGTTTTGCTGATTGGCTGTTGTTGAGTGCTCTGGGCTTCCATGAAACATATTTAAGAATGCTGGTGTTTTGCATTTGTTGAATTTTTGGTATGATCTCTGAGATATGGTGTTGCAGAACAGGTTAGACTATGGATTTAATGGCTATCAGGTGCCTCCCATACCTCGAGGTACCAGATCGGCTAGGGTAAATATTATCCACCTTCCTTCCTTGCACATTAACCCTTTATTTTCCTCTTGGTTGAGTTTTGTATGTCTAATTTTAATTTGTTGGTGCTTGTTTTAGAGGAGGAGAGCAATTAGTAAGAAAGTTGATGACCGTCAAATGTGTGCATTTGATTTATTGGCTACCGTAGCTGGCAAGTTGTTGTTGGAGGGAGAAAGTTCTCCTAGCTCTAGTAATTCATTAACTGGCACAATTGTGAAAGGTTCTATTAAGAAAGAGCAGCAGGATGAAGATATCCCTTCAAAAGTAGAACCTTGTGGCCAGGGAAGCTGTGATAGGAGCTCTTTTGTTTCTGAGCTTGTCTCTCAAACTCTTGTTCTACATCATAGTTCAAAGGAATTTTCACATGTTCATAATGATGATTGTTCGGGAGTTGCATCTGTAATAACTTCTGATTGCTCAGAGAAAGTTGGTTCTGCTGAAAAGTTGGTCAGTGGAAAAGGCAAGATTCAACTTGGAAGCTTCGCCAGCAAAGTAGAAGTGGCTTCCTCTGGCTACCAGGAGCCTTGTGATTGTACATTAGAGGATGAAAATAAGAATAAGAAACAGATAAAAATAGAGCCACCAAAGACTGGTAAGGCATCAAATAATACCAAGGCTGATATGTGCAGTTCCGATGATCCGGCAGTTATGAACAGGAAACCTCCTACTCCAGTTAGTCTAGACAATAGCGTGAAGTTGCCTTTGTGCACTGATTACATTCCTAGTGGTTCTTTCCCTGCATGTCGGGATGATGTAAAGTTAGTTATTAGAGATGATGACGAAAACTCTTCTGGGTGCACTCAACCTAGCACAGCAACAAAGGCCTTCAGGCCACCGCCACGCATTGGTAAGCGTAGAATAAGGAAGTTATTGGCATCCAAATACTGGAAGGTAACTCCAAAATTGAAGGATGAGGATCATTTTAATGCTGGTAAGTGGTTGCTTCTTGTTTAACTGTACTGGGTTCCCTCCCAATTTAATTGCTTATGATTATGATTTTTATTTAGTTGAAACTATAATTCTGTCTCCAGATTCAGAAACAAGGTCTGTCTACCACAATAGGAAGATAGGTTACAAACGCAAACGGTCTCTAACAGATTATCCTATCAAAAAGAGGATATTTTATGACCATAGCTCAGTATCAAATTCTGATGGAGGGATTAGTAGTGAGGGCATATCTAGTTCACCTAGGAAGGGGCTTAGTTGTGATGCTTCTGGTTCAGGTGCAACAATTCACGGAGGTTCATTTCCATCCTTTCCTTTCGCCTTTTTTGGTATATATTTTCAGTTTCAATTATAATTTATTTCTGGGTTTTCACTTAATAATTGTAACTACTCATGCAGCTTCTGGGACATCAGCTTGTGTAGCAGTGCAACACCCACCGTTCCAGTCCCGGGATTCCCATGGTATGAGAGCCTTTGATGGAGTGATTCATTTGTACTCTTTTGACTTGATTGGTGTTTGACATTCAAAGAGGTTCTTACACGAAGATGTCTTTCCTTTTACTCAGTGAAGGTTAGGATCACGTCTTTCAAGGTTCCAGAGCTTTTTATTGAGATGCCCGAAACTGCAACAGTTGGTTCTCTAAAGGTATGCCATATGTGAACATTAATTTTGGTAGTTTTTTTTTTATATAAGTATCTTCCAGTTATCTCAAGCTAAACATTGTAGTGGATGTGAAGAAGTTACCTTTATAGTTACCTCAAGCTAAACATTGTAGTGGATGTGAAGAAGTTTCCTTTATAGCACACGTTTCTATATGATTTTTGTATCCACAAAATAAAGTAATACATATTTTGGGGGTGAAGTGTGTGACCATGATTTGCATGGAAGGCCGGTGCACTTTTCTGAAATACCTTATATCATCTCTGTTGACAAGTTTTTGTCTGTGGTTCTTGCTCGGGTCTTGGGTACTCTCTTACTGTGTGTGTTTTGGTTCTTTTTCTCCTTTTAGATTCTGATGTTTTCTTCTAACAACACTGAACTCAGTTTTCCCTGTTCTGCAGAGATCAGTTATGGATGCTGTGACTGCTATACTTGGGGGTGGACTTCGAGTCGGTGTGCTTCTTCAGGGGAAGAAGATTAGAGATGAAAATAAAACTCTACTGCAGACTGGAATATCTCGTGATAACAAGCTTGATGCTCTGGGTTTCTCCCTAGAGCCTAACCCTTCGCAAGCTGCTCCACCTCTGTGTCATGAAGATCATACCTTTCTACTTGCTTGTGATACACCTCAGCCATTAACAAGGTAATTCAGATGTGACATTACTTCTGTTTGATGTTAACTTCAGAACTTGTCCTCATTTTGTGCTTTTGAGTTTTGACATTTCATAGCTTTTTAGTCGTTACTTTAAACGGTGTTATAAATAGTAGTGTATCTGCCCACCTTTTTTATGTTCCCCCCAATTTAATTTAGGATATGTGGGAAATTGAATGTTGTCAAACCTGTTCTTTCTCTTGGTGCATAAAGCAGGCATGTTTGACTCCACAAGTAGAGATTTTACTTCTCTTGGTTACATTGGATGGGCTAAATTTGCCATCGCTGTGTAGGGGTAATCTGAGTGCACAAAGATTTAATTTTTTGTAATTATCTTAGACTCCATTTGGATGGATGCAGATTTGAAATACATGGATTTTATATTAATTATTCAAGGAGAATAACTCGAATTTAGTTTAATAGATTACGTATGAATTTCAAGATTGAATTGAATAGTTTTATCATGAAGGAGATTTGAAATAACTACATAAAAATAGTTATTTAAAATCATGCGAAGAACTCTCTTCTAGCTACAAGGATTCTACTAAAAAACATCTTTTTTAACTCAACTTATCCTCTTCTATAGTTTTTCTCTCCACATGTAATAGTTTACTCTCCAATATTTTTAACCTCAAATCCCTTGATTTGAAACCCACATCCCATCCAAAGGAGCCTTATTATTATTGGAATCCAAGTTCCCAGGTTCTTCCTGCTCCAAGGATCAAGCATTTAAGTTCATTGTCTCTGAGCTAATGGTATATAATGATCTGTCACCAGGTACCCACCTGCGCCTAGTGTAGTACATAATGTAGTTGAACAGAGTACTGCTGATGCCTCACCAGATCCTCCATTGACAAATGTGGGCAACTTTGTTGATAGCGATCATGATTCAGCACCCTCTCCTCCTGACATGTCAATAGACAAAAGCCCAACAGATTCCAGGGCATTGGTTGCCGTTCCAGCAATGAATGTTGAGGCATTGTCTGTTGTTCCCATGAGGAAATCAAAGCGATCTGAGGCTGTTCAGCGTAGAATTCGTCGACCTTTCTCTGTTTCTGAAGTGGAAGCACTGGTTCAAGCTGTTGAGAAGCTAGGAACTGGAAGGTATGTTTGTAGGCAAAACCCAACTCAGGAACTACCAAGGGGCTGAATCACTAAATAATTTGTTAAATGTGACTTGACCAGTTTTTTATTTTTTTATTTTTTTATTTTTTTGTTCTTTTCTCTTACCCCCTGGTTGGTTGGTTTGTCCTGCAGATGGCGTGATGTTAAACTTCGAGCTTTTGATAATGCAAAGCATCGAACTTATGTAGATTTGAAGGTAACTGAATGATTTTCCACCTTCTTGCTCACAGATATTCCATCTTAACAGTACAAGTTATTATTCATGATGCTCCTTAATGATTATTGAGATTGCTCAATTGTTTCTGACCGTTACAGTTCTTTAAACTTTTAAAATAGCCCAGTGGCCGTCAATTTAGTTGGTTAAAGGCGATTGCTTGTGTTATTGGCACATTACTAAACTATCTATATAGCTTTATATATACGATACAACTACTCTCCCAAGGAATCTCTTCAATTCTAGTCTAGTTGGTATAATCTATTTCTTCCTGATGACCCCCTAATAAATGATGAATGTCCCACTTTTATTTATTTTATTTATTGCCTAAGAGATCTTTAGCTCCTGGGTCCGAATGCAAACGGGACTATATGAGTTGTTACCTTTAGTTATCTACACAATGTTTGTTTAATCATTAGAAGTATGCTCACATGATGTGGTTGGTGGTGTTTTGCGATTGGGGATTATGCAGGACAAGTGGAAAACACTGGTGCACACGGCAAGAATATCTCCCCAGCAAAGGAGGGGTGAGCCTGTGCCCCAGGAGCTCTTGGACAGGGTCCTCGCTGCCCATGCTTACTGGTCCCAGCAGCAAGCCAAGCAACAGCTCAAACAACAGTTGGAGACTTGCCTCCTTTGAAAAACTTCACCAGACTCAGCTCGCAGCACACGCTGAAGAAGCAATAGGTTTGATTGTGGTTTAAAGAAGGTGCTCTCTAGTTTATTTTTTTTTCGTTAGTATTATGATATGATATTATGTAAAAAGTAACGACAAGGGGGAAGAATAGTTATTGTAATATTTTCCAAGCTCTTGCGCCGATTCTTTTCCCTGCATGCAGAGAGAGGTCGGTGCTTGTAAATGTTTGACAGAATAAGAGCTTTGCTAACGGATTCAATTTTTTTGGTGCCAACATGTTGGCATTTTCTTGTTCATTTGATTTCTTGTTTGGGTGGTTGGAAAAGCAAAAGTAGAAAACATGGGAGTTGAAGTTCATTTGTTGTACTTGTAGATTGGTAGTGTGATTGTAATCTTCTATTTAATGCTAATGCTTGTTTAGCATCAATATTATGAATTTGTTGACTCCCTAAGCTTTGTATTCTTTTCTAATCGACTTGTTTGGTGTAACTTTGATGAACATAAAGCAGAAGTTCGAAGTATTATTTTTTTAATTTTAAGATTATTTACTTTTTTTATTCAAGGTGAAAATTTTGATATGATGACCTTATGATTACATTTTGGTATTACGCATATGACGAATTGGACGGTCATGATGAGATGATCAACTTTAATACCCTTTCTTTTTAAGGTCACAAATTCCTTTCTTAATAAGGTTACCTAACAGATTCCATTTCAATGGGACATTGGCTTGAAAGAGAGGCAATCTAAGTCGGGGGCAGCCAAGTTGGTTAGGTTTGTTAGGAAGAGCGATATATTAGTGAAGAAGCACGTGTATGCACGTGCTATTGGGAAGGTAGAGTAAAGATATCAGGCTGTGGACTTTATCTGAGAGTAGGCTCAGATTGGAATCTTATAAGATATACGCATAGTAAAAATAATAACAATGAAATAAATAATTTTCAATGATTGAGTTTGAGGATATCTTTGATGATAAATTGATAATAAATAAGCCCTTTGTATTAGACATGACTATGCACATGTATTAGGTCGGTGGTTTTAATGTAAAAATAGATGTTTATTGAGCTGTAATGAACACGAGCTTAAAAAAACACGGGTTATAATGAAATAATAAAAACAGTATGAATATTGCCAATTCACATCTAACTTTGGTCATGGCAAACAATTTATTGGTTCAATTACAGATTTGTTGGAGTTTGTGTTTTTTTTTTGTAATATTAAAAATTAGTTTGATAAAAAATAAAAATAAAAAGATGTTTTCCAAATTAAAAAAACCATTTTTGCAATACAATATGAAAATGATGAGTAATTTTTAAAATTTCTTTATTTTTTTACTAAATTAAATTTTAATTATTTGAAAATGAAACTATACAGAGTATTTTGATTTTTTTTTGTCTTTTATTTTCAATTTTTTTTTCTTCTATATCATCTGGTTAAAAGACTAAAGTCCAAACATATGATTAAAAGACTTAGGTCTCGTTTGGATACACGAAATTTTAACTAAAAAATCATATGATTTGTCCCATTCTCTCTCTCTCTTTTTAATTTTTAAAAAGTTAAAAAATTATTTCTAAATACTTTTTATACTTTTACCTTGTATTTTAATAAAAAAAATAACTAAAAAAGTAACTGAATTTGAGATAAATAGTAAATGAGAAGTGTACATGTAATCCTTAATGCATTGATTAATTGTGCAGGAAAAATTGATCAATCTAATGCTGCCAAAGGAACTTGTACTAAAAAAAAAAAAACACTAGAGAATCTTCTACATGGGGAAGGAGATGCCTTTTATTATACTTTTTATGTGTCACTCATATATTGCTTAGAAAATTTATGAATCACTTTCACGAAAAAGCAACGTCAATATTTTATTTATATATTACTTTAAGAAAAAAATTGATAGACGAAGTGGTTTGTGCTCTTATTCTAGTGGCTACAATAAGATAGGGTGTCTCGTCCCACAATTCTTATCTCATTTTTGAGATTCGAAATATGAAATACTTTCTTAATAATAATTTGTAATAATAAAAGGTCCAAGAAAATACATCACAATTAAAATGAGAGGATGGGTTAGCAAAAATGTTTTAAAGTTATTTTTTAATTAAAGAATTATCTTTAATTGGCTGTAAAAATTTTAATGCTAATGAGACGGGGACTAAGTTCACCATGAATACTATCCATAATTTACTTTTCTAAGTAGTAATTTTTTAGGTATATAATATTATTTTATTTTTTGTAAAGGAAATTTTGGATTGTCTAATTTCCTTACTAATTTTGAACCTTTTATTTGCTAGTGCCCAAATAATTGTTTTTCCCGGGTGGCGCTTTTGTATGGTTTAGGCTTCTTTTTGGGAATTAGTTTTAAAAAATAGTTTATTAGCAAAAAATTAAGTTTTGAAAAAAAAAAAAAACTAAAAAAAATCAAATTGTAATTTTTTTAGCATAAGTAAGTTTATCTGATTTAAATTTTTTTGATAAAAAATGAGTTTAGCAAAGTTTTTTTTTTTTCAAATGAGATTTTTTAGTTAATAAATCAATTTTTTAACCATAATCAAACAAAGGCTTTCATATCCTAGTCTATCTTAAGAATGGCCCAACCTTCCCAAATTTATTTAAGAAAATGTTTTGTAGCTTGAAAGTTTTTCCTCCGACTGCCCAAAATGACGTCGTTTTGGGCAGTTTATTTATTATTTTTTTTTTCTCCTTTTGTCTGAAACAGGGGGAGAAACAGAGAAGAGGAGAGGAGGGAAGGGAAACAGAGAGAGAGAGACGACGATGGCGATGGCGATGGCGGTGCGAGAGACGGTGATGGCGGTGTGAGCGACGGGGATGGAGGGTGCGACAGTGGATGCTCACTCTTGTGATTTCTAGCTCTGATGTGTTGAAGATGAAGATGAAGATGAAGATGATGTGTTGATGATGTGTTGATGATGTGATGATGATGGTGATGTTGTTGTTGGTTGTTGTTGATTTTTTTTTTTTTTTTTTTTTTTTTAGATCAAGATTTTAATCAAAAAAGATGTTGTTGTTGTTGTTTTTTTTTTTTTTTTTTTCTAGTAGATCAAGATTTGAATCCAGATCTGAAGGGGGGAAAAAAAATGTTGGCCGATGATAATGTGATAAAGAAGATGTTGTTGATGATGATGATGTTCATCTTCTTCTCTCCTTCTTCTTCTTCCTCTTCTGCGTCTTCTTCTTCTTCAGACAAACGGGAAGGAAAAAAGGAAAAAAAAAATAATAATAATAAAATAATTCCAAAATGACGTAGTTTTGGAATTTTGGGCGATTCGGGGAGCTTCCAATATGAGCTACGTAGCGCGATTGATTTATTTATAGCTGAAGTTTCAGGTGGCCATTGGACAAAGGTTAGAAACCTACAATTTACCTGTAGGGAGTTGGATTTTATATGATTAGATTTATAATAAATCAAAAATTGACACACGTGTTCTATTTGTTTTGGCAAAAAGCATTTCCTAATAGAAACATATTCTTTTATTTTAGACAAAATCCATTTTACTTTCCTATAGTAAGGTTCGATAGCACTTTATCCTTAGGTGGTGTTTGGTTATCATTTTGGGCTAAATAATCACAAAAAGACAAAAAAAAAAAAGTCAAAAAATCACAAAAAGACAAAAAAAAATCTACTATTCCAAAGCTAAAAAATCCAAAAAAGTCAATTAAGAATACTAAACGAACATAAAAGTCTCAGGCTAAAAAAGTCAAAAAAACTAACTAAAAAAGTCATTGCCAAATAAAGGGTTACTTTTTAAAAATAGCCATATGCCCCTATGTGATTTTGGACTAAAATATAACTTTTAACACTGTTAATTATAGATATAAAATAACTATAATACCCTCAAATTCTATATTTTTTTGTTACTTTCTTTCTCTCTCATCTTTCATACACATAATTTATAATGTATAGTATTAATTCAATTAAATTGTAATTAATTATAAATTCTTAATTATTTATTTTTATTAAATTTTTATTCTAATTTTAATATAATTATTTTTAGATCACAGTTAATCCTAAATATTTAACTATTTATTGTAATTACTAACTTTTAATCTGATTTTAACTTAATTATATTTTAGATCACAATTAATCTTAAATTCTTAATTATTTATCATAATTTGTAACATGTTAATCTAATTTTAATTTAATTACATTTTGGATCAATTCTTAACCATTGTTTATTTTATATTTTATTTAATTATTTTTTATATTTTAGATCAATTCTTAATTACATTTTAATATTTATTTTAATTAACATATTAATCTAGTTTTAGGATTGGAAAAAATTGCGATAAAATTGTCCTTTTGTTGTATTAGTTCATTCTAAATTTTCAAAAAATAAAACTCTCTGCAAAATAGCGTATGTAATACACATTCCGTTAGTTTACACAAAAAAACTAATGGCGCCACCTTAGTCCAAAATCACATTAGAACTTTCTATCTATACTTGAACAATAGGGGGGTGAATGTTCCAACCCCAAACCACAATGGGGTAAAATGGCGAAGGAGGATGAGGTGAAGGTGGGGTGGCGATGGCAATGATGTCAACAGTGATGGGGGCGGTAGCTGTGGTGACGATGTCAGGATGGGATGACCATTTTATCTTGTCCCGCTATGAACAAATTTTTTCCACATCGAGAAAGAATTAGAGCGGGGACAAGTTTTACTTTCTCCGATCAGATAATATTTATTAAATATATTTATATGTAAATAATATATAACTTTTGATTTTTTCCAATATAATAATATTAAACCACTCAAATAATACACTTATCATTCATTTTTCACTTATTTATTTTTCATCTTACATATTTTAATTTTCTTTAATTATAAATTATTATTAATATATTATATTATCTCTAATTACTATTAGTATTTTTATTTTTTAAGTTACAAAGTAAACTCTCATCAACACTAACCTGATTTGCCTCCCTCCGATATGTAATAGGGCGGCCCCCGATGGACATCTTTAGATGTGGTGGTAGAGGTGATGGTGACCAAGCTAATATAATGGTATTGATAAAGTTTTAATTTATAAAATATTTTTCGTTTTTCATCAACTTTTATTTCAAATAGTAAAAAAGACAAAAAAAAAAAAAAAATGTAGGAGCGATAATCAGCCATCCAATTGTGGGTATAATTATAAAATTTAATTAACATACGAAAAAACAAAAAACCAAAAAGGCGGCAGCATCGTGTTGCTTTGCAATCAGGCACAGAGGCCAGCCCAGAGCCATAGTATGTGTGCCCTCTCACGGATTAATGGGTCAGACTAGGCGAGCTCCAACTTCTAAGCCCAAGTATTTTTCAGACTATTTTCTAGTGTACGGAATTGGGCCAGACTAAAACCCAATCTGGGCTCAAGATGATCGGGGGAATTATCACATGAGTGGTGGAATATTTCCCCAATATGAATAATATTATATCTATCAATTAATATATTAATTAGTGTACTAATAGATGATATGATATAATTATAAAAGATTTAAATTTTTATAATTTGTATAATGAGTAGGGTGAGTAATAATGTCATAATATGTATTAGTACACTAATTGATATACTAATTGTTACATGTAATACCACCGCTCTAATTTTGTTCCCTCAATTCCATCTCTAATGGTGTGACCCACCTTCATGTGAAGTGGTCTCACACTCCTCTCTCTTTCATTTTAGCCTCTCTAATTTCACATTATTAGGAATAGATTTGGATGAGCAAGATTAGGACACCAATCATTATTCTTATTACATATAAAATGGAGTCACAAAAAATTAAAAAAAATTATTTGAGACTCCTAATAAAATTCCCACAATGATGTGGAATGATAGCTGTCAACTTTTGACTTGTTATATACTCAATTATGTGAGGTTTTAGTTTCTTGTCACATAATTGAAGGTGTATTTAGAGATCTTAAATGTAAGCCTCTAGCATTACTTTAAAAAACATTTACAAAAAAGGTAATAAATATAATAATTAAAATTATAAACTTTTTCACTATTACGTAATAATTTTTGAAAATTTATCCTTATTAGTAATTTTCCCTTATTGATAAACCAGTCACCCTAGTGCCATTTGTATATTTTCTTGGGATATAATAATTACATTGTAGTGAATTTATTTTTTTTAAAAAATTGTATATTCGTGAAAAAAATTATAATTATAATTATTAATATTTACAAAATTATATATCTATAATAAATCATAACTAAGGCCTCATTTGGGAACAAACTATTTTAGCCCTCGCTTGGCAATCCACACTTGGGCTAATTTTGCCACATCCGTCCAAAGTAGGCTATATTAGCCACAAGAGACACAAAAGAGTCCTTACCAGAAAGAGTTCAGCCCGTGTACAAATTACCAAACTATTTCCATTGCCAACCTGTTTGTGTCACAGTAGCACCAAAACAAACCACACACTTTCCCTTACCTAGGGCACGGTTAGACGAGAAGAAGAAGGCAAAAATTGAAGACTACCATCGATGAAGAAGAACAACAACTCAAGTTGTCCATAGCCCAAGCCCATCGGAGTGCACATCGGAGGCCACACTGCAACCAACGCATCCTCGCCACCACCGATCGTGAGGTACATAGATTTTCTTTTTTGTTTTGGGTCGATTTGATCTCCTTCAACCCGATTTGCTGGGGTAGTCATTAATCGTCCATTTTTTTGTTGTGTGGATGTTATTTACTTGTTTGGCATGTGGGAAAACTACAGTATGATGGTGGATGCTCCATAAAATCTGATGGATCTAAATTCTTGTTTTTCTTTAGAAAATTGATCTCTAAAATTACAAGATGCGTGGTCTGTTCCATTTTTTTGCTTGATGCTTTGATTTTGCACAGCATTTATATGCCAATTCATGGGATTTTTTTTTTTTGTCATTCTTTACATGTCCTATTTATAGACACTGAATTATAGATTTTGCCAAGATGAAACATCATCTGAAACATGTACTGTTATTTCCCATTCTTTACATCTCCTATTTATAGACTAAATTTCAGATTTTGTCAAGATTAAACATTATCTGTTTATGGACTGAATTATAGTTTGGAAAATTATCTGAATTTTGATGAGTTGAGAGCTAAAGTTGGAAGTTTTTTTTTTTTTTTTGGGGAGATTTGGATCCTCTCTATTTCACAGGGAAATATTGATTCATTTACCTCCTACAAATACTGATTTCAAATTGTTTTTACTTGAAATGCATGTTCAGTGATCATAAAATTTGGTGAATTCAATATATTGATCTGGGTCGGTACAAGTTCACGCGTCATTACGGAGTGTAGTGGAATGCACTTTCGGCACATAGAAAAAACAATGGGGGTTTATTCAAAATATGCCTTGGTATGATTTTGCAAATGTGCAAGTTCAGTTGGTTGGTGCGTCAATGGCATTACATAACTATATATGTAGAAATACTAGCAATCCAACAACTGTTAACCCCATCTTCAACGAGGAAGAGGCTATGACAATAGTAAATGGCGTACCAAAAGTTGCACATGACGAGGGTGGTTTAATGGTTGCGGATAAGGACCCCCATATGGTATTGTTGCGAGTTCCTATACGGGACAAGTTAGTGTACATGCACAATAACAGAATGTTAGGAAACATATAGTCAACCTAATATTCGTATGCTTATAACATTGTTCAGCCACGGTCGGGATGTATGTGATTATATTATATTGTACAATATGTATGTGTTTACACAAAAAAATGAAAGTACTATGGTTTAAATGCCTTATTTTGTGAAATTATTGGGTTGGAGAAAGAGAAAATTTGTTATGTACTTGTAATAATTAAGTATGGTAGCATGATGGCAAACCACAGTATTATGATTTGATGATTGTAATAGAAAAATTAAAAAATTTTAAAAAATAAAATGGGCATGTACTATGCTGAAAATTATAATATTTGGCCGTCAACTCAATTTTGGGTAAAAGGTAGTATGATTTATACCACTTTTTTTTAACAAATAGTAAAACAAGTGCAAAGGTGATGTGTCTGAAAATAGATACCAAAAGGGAAATTTATGAGTGTGTTTGGAGATAAATTTTTTAAAAAATATTTGGGGCAAGAGTAACTGAATTTTTTTGGTTTGTTTAGTTATATTTTGAAAATAGTTTGGGAGTTAGGTATGATTTGATGTAGTTGAGAAAATGTATATGAGAGAATAAGTGATTGAGAAGGATAGAAGAGAGAGAAAGAGAGAAAAAGTGATTGATTGATATGTAAGAGAGAGAAAGTAACTTTGAATTTTTTTTTTTCAAAAAATTTGAACCAAACAAAATTTTGAAAATTTTCCTAAAAACTTGTATAAAACTTGTATCTTAATATACAATTTTTTACAAGCCCTCTGTTTTTGTTTTTATTTTTTAAGAACGGTAAAATTCTTATTTTTTCTGTAATTATAAAATAAATAAATAAAGAAAATGAAAATAATAGGCTGATGTGGTAGCCTTGCAACCTACATGCCCAGGTAAATGAACAGTAAAGGGAACATGGTATGCCCAAGGGCATTTGGGTAATCTTACACATGGACATCTTACCAAAAAGTCAAAAAAGTCAAAAAGTCTATCCCAAACCAGACTTTTTAGTCCTAAGCTAAAATAGTCAAAAAGTCAACCCACATCCCAAACGAATCTTTAGTAAGTTTTTAGTTTTTTACGAAAAGATGTGTAAAAAAGTAGAGAGAGTGATGTAACAATTTATAGTGACTTTTTAACTAAAACATGTAATTGTCAAACGAGACCTAAGTCACAATTAATATCACAATGGGTCACAACTAAAAGTCACAAAAATTATAATTGGTGCATATGTGTATTATAAAATTTTCTAATTTATAGATATTCACTAATGTTGTGTTTAGTTTGGGGATTTGAGAAGGATTTGGAAATAAAAGGAAAAAAAAAAAGTGAAATGTGAATAAAACATATATATTTTTCACACACATTTTTTTTTTTAAATCCTTTCTCAAATCTCCAAATCAAATACAACGTAAAGAAAAGAAAAATAACACAAACTTTTAAAATGCTTAACAATTAATTAATTTATATATATATGGCATATGTGTATAACTTTTCGTTTCATATGAAAAATATGTACAAAAAATAAATACATATTCCAATTTTATAACTAAAAAGAAAAAAAAATATTCCTTACATATATGCATATACAAACAAATATTTGCATAAATACTTTAATTTTAAAATTAGTATAAATAAAGATTTAAATTTATATATTGAATAAAAATGGCTCAAATATAAAAAAGTTAATCGTATCAATCATGTATTACTGTCAAGATAATTATTTAGAGAAAGTCAAATTTAAAGACACTGGCTACTGTTCAACCACACATGCATCTTTGATTTATAAAGATAAAAATATTAAAAAATTTATCAAAATTCCTATTAAAGTCTCACATAAATATGGGCTCACATGAAACCTAATTTGATAAAAATTTTGAAAGATTTATAACATTATTCTTATAAAGAAAGTCCAGTACTCACAAATAACGAGCGTAAAAGTGTAATTTGGCTGAACTGGGCGGTGTTTGGGAACTTAGACCCACTACCCAAACACAAACACTCACTATGTGTGCCCACTTCCATTTTGAAAAGTGCAACGCGGAGGAGGGTTTAGTGAACGAGCGAGGTCTCGTTTGTTTGTTTTTAGAAGGAGAATAGGAAGAATTTATTGTGAGGAAATTAAATAAAATTATATTTATTTTAATAATAATTGTTAGTGTAAGAATTATTAAATTATTTTTATATAAAATAATAAAATAAAAAAATACAAAAAATTAAACATTAATGTTAAAAAAAAATACTCAACATGTAAAAAAAAATAAAAAAAAAATCTAATCCCCTCACTATTTTTCTAATATCATTTTTACCTCCTTTATCCCAATCTCCCTTTCAACTTTCATCTTAATTTTTTTTCCTAACTCTACAAACAAACACAACATGAATCTCACTTCCATCTTAATCTCAACCCACCCCCTACCCCAAAAACAAACGGGGCCGAACCAAAACAAACGGGGCCGAAGGGTTTAAGCGGATTTAGGGGTGGGATCACCAATATATGCAGATGAATGCTCTTTTTATTTATTTATTTAATTAAAAACATCTGGACTGTAGTGTTGTGAGAGATGTGTCTGTTTTTTGTTATAGTAGTTGAAGTTGATTTGTTTTGTGAACAACGACTACTGCTACTACTACTACTATTATTAAAATATTGTAGTAGGATCGATAACGATGACGATGATGATATATATTCCGATTTGGATGTACAGTTTGTTGTTGGAGTGGTGAGAAATTTAAAAGATGGGAAGGGAGCACAAGTCCAACAACAAATGGGACTTGGGCTTTCATAATAGTAGGATCGATAACGATGACGATGATGATATCTATTCCGATTTGGATACTGACCTAGATAATGTTGCTGCTCCTGTTCCATCTTCCAGCTTAAGTATGGTGATATCCTTGCAGAGTGAAAATACATGGCCTTTTAGCTTCTTAAATACCATACCTTCTCCTACTCATCCTTCTCCTCGGCAATTTTCAGAGGATGAGTTCCATCGGTCGTCGGGTAGGTAATTGCATTAAATTTGTATTCAAGAAACATTTTTCCCATTTGTTTTTGTCTCTTTCAATTCAATGCATAGAGGTAGGTATGTTCTTTCTAGGTACACAATAATTGTGATGGAGAATTGAAGTGAGGTAATATAAATTCAAGCATTTCTACTAGTTATTTTACTTTGAGTATTTATTAAATTAAAAAATTAGAAAGATGTGAGCTGATGAGCCCCAGGGAGTTTTAAGTATTATTATTGCCTGTGATGTGATTGTTGGTTTATTAAATAGAAACTGTGTGGATGCTTTCAGATGAGAAATCACAGTTCAACAACCAGAAATTGAAATGCACAACTTCTCAAACTTACTGTACATACAAAAAGGCAAAGCCTTTTGGCAATGCCCTGGCATCAGCATCAAATTCTGATACTGAGCAAGACATTGACAAAGAAAATGTTCAACCACGTGTTGGCAATGGGGAGGTGTTTGCATGCTATCTACTAATTATTAAGAGTATTTTACTTTGAGTATTTATTAAATTAAAAAATTAGAAAGATGTGAGCTGATGAGCCCCAGGGTGTTTTACGTATTATTATTGCCTGTGATGTGATTGTTGGTTTATTAAATAGAAACTGTGTTGATGCTTTCAGATGAGAAATCACAGTTCAACAACCAGAAATTGAAATGCACAACTTCTCAAACTTACTGTACATACAAAAAGGCAAAGCCTTTTGGCAATGCCCTGGCATCAGCATCAAATTCTGATACTGAGCAAGACATTGACAAAGAAAATGTTCAACCACGTGTTGGCAATGGGGAGGTGTTTTCATGCTACAGAATGTCGCGGGAGATGTCGGCACTGACTCATGTGGTGTCTGGACGTGTGACTCAGGATTTTGCTAATCGATCGGATAATTGCAATTCCAACAAGGGGAAGTGCCAAACGTCTCAAAGAAGCTGTCTTTCTGAAATTGGGAATGCATCTGAAGGTACCTTGGTGTTAATTTTTGATGGAATGATAGAAGGACAAAGCATTTGTATTATTGAAAACGATGCTCTGACAGTTTGGAAATGCATGATTTTCTTATAATTTGTGTTCTAACTGATGGGGATTCACACATTTCTTATAACAGTTGGCCTATTTTTGTTGGGAAACCCTCCATATTAATCAAAAAATGGGAAGGCTTGATATGTATGGAACAACGTTTTTATTTGATATAACAATAATTTTGTCCTTTCACATGAATGTTGGCCTAAATATATGGGAATGGGATTTAGTTCTAAATGTGAGGCTATATGAATTCACATGTATCTTGTGACCAGTTGCATGTTTTTATTGGAAGTCTAAGAGTTTATCAAAAAATGGAAAGGTATAAACTCATGGGGAAACCTACAACGGGGGGAAGTAACTTAATGGGCTTGGGTTATGACAATAACACTGGCTTTTACTTTGATGTTTTCAGATGAGAATTTAGACCCTGACCACCACAAGAGGAAACACCAAAGTTCTCAAAGCATTTATAATTTGGCTGAGAAAGACACTGATAACGCAGATGCAAAACTGCAGAACTGCATTTGCTTTTGTCATTGCTTAGAACCGTGTTCTTCCTCTTGGGAGATAGTTTCAATGCTTCACAGGGATCTATTCTAGTTGATGAGGCAATATAAATTAATTCAAGCGTTTTGTACTATTTATTAGAGTATTTTCTATTGGAAAGTCAAAAGTATTTTCTCTGATAATGTAGATGCACAACTGCTTAGAGCCATGTTCTTCCTCTTGGGACATAGTTTCAATGCTTCACAGGGTTCTATTCTAGTTGATGAGGCAATATAAATTAATTAAAGCGTTCTGTATCTGTACTGATTATTAGAGTATTGTCTATTGGAAAGTTAAAAGTATTTATTGAAAAATGGAAAGATGTGAGCTGTGTGGGAGCTTCACAGTAGGAAGGAACTTTATTGCCTTTTTGCTATGATCTTTTGCTTGACAAATTGTTGGTTTAAATATAAGTTGTGTTGATGCTTTCAGAGCTCCACAAACGTAGAAGTTCTCAAAACATCCGTTCATCCAAAACGGAAAATCCTTGTGGTGATGCCCCGGCATCAAAGTCTGAAGGAATAATCGCAGGCAAGAGCATTTCTAACTTCTCTGAGAAAGACATTAACAAAGTAAATGCTCAACTAGGTTCAACTCTGTCAATGTGTAGAGGTATATTCTAGTTCTAGTTGTAGGGCAATGGTTTCAGTGGTACACACGGTTCTATTATAAATTCACGCATTTCTGCAAATTATTAGAGTATTTGTTTATTGCAAATTCAAAGTATTTACTAAAAAATGGAAACTCTGATGATGTTTTCAGGTAAGGAATCACAGCCTGAAAATCATAGCAGGAAATGCCAAGGATCTCAACGCAACTATCATTCCAGAATGATGAAACATTTTGATGGTACTACTGAATCAAATATGAATGAAATGGTTATGTGTGAAAGCATCTCTAATTTTCCTGAGAAAGATATAATAAAGGAAGATGCTGTACCTGATTTAGCCCTATCAAAGCGTGGAGGTATGTTCTAGCCCTTGTGGATACACATAATCCTTGTTTCTACAATACATAGGAATGGGATTTAGTTCTAATTGTGATTCTAATGAATTCACATGTATGTTGTGACCATTAGCATATTTTTATTCGAAGTCTTTACTATTTACTGAAAAATAGAAAGATATGGGGAAAGCTACAATGGGGGAAGTAACTTAATGGGCTTGGGGCCTTAACTTTGATGCTTGCAGATGATAAGTTAGAGCCTCATAACCACCAGAGGAAATACCAAGTTCTCAAAGTATTTCTAATTTGCCTGAGAAAGACACTTGTGTGGTAGATTCGCTACAAAGTTTGATTTGGCCAGTAGGCATGCTCTACCTCTTGAGACATAGTTTCAATGCTTCACAGGGTTCTATTCTGGTTGCTGAGGCAATACAAATTATTCAAGCTTTTTGTACTAAAGTATTAGAGTATTTTCTAAGTTTTTCGTGTTCATTAAAAAATGGGAAGATTCGAGCTGAATGGGAGCTTCACAATAGGAAGGAACTTTATATTATTGTCTTTTTGCTATGATCTTTTACTTGATTGATTGTTGGTTTAAATTAGAAGTTGTGTTGATGCTTTCAGAAAAGAAACAACACAACCGCAGAGGTGCTCGAATCATCGATCCATACAAAATGGAAAAACCTTGTGGCGATACCGTGGCATCAAAGTCTGATGGAATTATTGCAGGCAAGAGCATTTTTAAATTGGCTGAGGAATATATTGACAAAGTAAATGCTCAACCAGGTTCACCTCTGTCAATGTGTAGAGAAGGTATATTCTAGTTCTAGTTGTATGGACATGGTTTCGGTGATGCACAAGGTTCTATTGTAAATTCACGTATGTCTTCAAATTATTAGAGTATTTGTTTATTGAAAATTTTAAGTATTTATTGAAAATTGTAAATCTTTTAGGCGATTGGGGGCTTCATCCTGGCAAGCAACTAAATTAGCTTTAGGCTATGACACCAATGCTTTCCTTTTGTAACGTTTGTTTGTCGTTTGAAGTTGTAACAAATGTTTTCAGATGAGAAATTAAAGGCTAGAAACTACTATGGGGAATGCCAAAGTTCTCAAAGCAACTGTTCTTCCAAAACAACAAAACCTCTTGAGGATAACCTGGTCTTGAATTCTAATAAAAAAATTGCAGGCAAGAGCATCTCTAATTTGCTTGAGAAAGACATGAATGAAGATGTTGTGTCAAGTTCGCATCTGTCAACACGTAGAGGTATGTTCTAGCTGCTGCAACATAGTTTCAATGATACACATGGTTCAGTCCTTATTATTGCGGCAGTATAAACTCACGAATTTCTTCTAGCCTTTAAGACTTAAGAGTATTTATTATAAAGTCCTAGTATTTTTAAAGTGGTTAAAAAGTGGAAATGCTTAAACTGACTAGGGAGTTTCATCACTATAAACAATTTAGTGAGCTTTAGGCCATGACAACAACACTGTCCTTTTTGCATGATTGTTGGTCTAAATGGAAGTCACTGTGATGTTGTCAGATGAAAAATTAGAGTCCAACAACCACAAAAGGAAATGTCAAAGCTATCAGAGCAACTGTTCTTCCAAAATATCAAAACCTGTTGACAATCGGCTGGTATCAGATTCCGTTGGAATGGTTGCAGGCAAGAGCATTTCTAATTTGCATGAGAAAAACATAAACAAACAAGATCCTCTACCAGGTTCACATTCTGTCTATGCATAAGTTGGAACATAGTTTCAATGATACGTGGTTCTGTTCTATTTATTTATTTATTTATATAATGATACACAGGGTGCTGTTCTGTTCTAGTCCTTTGGGTAATAAAATTCATGCATTTGTTTTAACTATTTAGAGTATTTTTTTTTTATATTGAAAATATAAAGTATACATTAAAAGGCTTAAGCTGATTCAGAAGCAACTTTATGGCCTATGGGTTTTGGGCTGTGACAACCATGCTATATTTTTTTAATGCTTTTTGGTCCAGATGGAAGTTATTGTGAATTTTTATTTTATTTTATTTTATTTTTCAGATGAGGAATTAGAGTGCAATTCCAAAAAGAGGAAATGCCAAACGTCTCAAAGAAGCTATCCTTCTGAAATGGTGAAAACATCTGAAGGTACCTTGATATCAAATTTTGATGGAATTATAGCAAACCAAAGCATTTCGGATAGGTGGAAATACATAATTTCTCAATAATTTCTGTTCTCATTGGGGATTCAATCATTTCTTATAACGTTTAACCTATTTTTGTTGGGAAACTATACAAATTAATCAAAAGGCTTAAGCAGATTGGAAAGCTAATCATGTGGAACAACTTTTTTATTGGATATGACAATAATTTTGTCCTTCCACATGATGGTTGGCCTAAATGGAGGTTATGATGATGTTTTCAGATGAGGAATTACAGCCTGACATCCTTAGGTGGAAATGCCAAGGATCTCAAAGCAACTATCCTTCCAAAATGATGAAACCTTTTGATGATAACACCAAATCAAATTTGAATGAAGTGGTTACGAGTGAAAGCATCTGTAATTTGTTTGAGAAAAGTATGATTACGGAAGATGCTGTACCTGATTTAGCTCTATTGAAGCATGGAGGTATGTTCCAGCTCTTGTGGATTCACATAATCCTTGTTTCTATAATACATGGGGATTGGATTTAGTTCTTATCGTGAGTCTATCTTGTCATTCTGATTCCAGTTTTACAGCCTAAATTCATTTGTTGCATCACTGAGCATATCATTCTTTTTGTATCCTAGCTACTAGGACAACATCTTCAACAGGAGATCAAAACACATTTCTTGAATCACGGGATTCATACGGTATGAGGGCAACTAGTGGAGTGATTTATATTGTGCTCTTTTGACTTCCTTAGTGCCGGACATCACAAAGGTTCTGATACAAAGTTGTATTTTACTTTACTCAGTGAAGCTTAGGATCAAGTCTTTTACAGTGCCGGAGTTTCTTGTTGAGATTCCAGAAACTTCTACCATTGGCTTTCTGAAGGTATATAAACTTCAATTCTGATTATTTTGCACTAACCTTATTTCACATATTGTGGTGGTCTTGGAAGAAAGATAAGGCAGTGCATTTTTTTTCCCTCTTCAGTATTTGTGGTATAAATTTTGATTCTATGTCTTTCCATATAGTTTAGGTTCACATAAATGCAAAGAACCAAGGCAGGAATAGTGATTGATATGCATTTGCATCTTTATATGTTGGATCACCAAAAGAATACATATCATCTGTTTTTAATGCAATACTGACATTTTAATAGCACTACTGGGGACGTCTTTGATTGCATTTTTCTCAACAATCATACAACACCGCAAATGCATAATTCCTTAATTTATTGGCCTTTGCATTACCCATCATTCATTCTTCCCTGTTATCTAGTTAATGCTTTCCTAACATTGCTTTGCATAAACATCACTCCCTTACCCTTTGGCAGCATGGTTCCTAAGCATATATCCTGAAGATAGAGTAACTGTTTTGTAGAGAAAAATTATGGAAAAAGCAACTGGCATAGTTGGAGGTGCGCATGTTGGTGTACTTCTTCCGGGGAAAAAGATTGGAGATGAGAACAAAACTTTATCGGAGACTGCTATTTCTAATGAGAGCAGGCTGGATGTCATCCTGGAGCCTATACCTTCACATGTTCCCCACAGTTGTCCCCTCCAGCTCCCTTGCGACATATCTCAGCCTCTAGCGAGGTAATAAAATGTGCACTGGCCTTTAACATGTCTTCATGTCATAATCTGACTTCATCTAGTAGGGTTTGTGGCTTTGTGGCCTTTCCTCCTCCCAAATTGTATACAGTTTAGAAACATAATAAGTTCACTTTTCCACATGTTTTGCCTGAGCCACATTGTAGATTGTGACAATTTATGAAGTTATTTTCTCATTCATAAGTGCATTTGTATTACTGAAGAAAGTGAAGTGAGCTTCCTACCTTCCTGAGCAGTGAGCAAATGCAATTTTTTCAAAATGTCTCCAATGTCTTTGCTGTTGTAGGATATGAGAAGAGAGTTATAGTTATCTCTTTCAAACTGTGAAAAATAATTAATGCCGGATGCCTTTCAGCTAATAACTAACTGCTATTGTTACTAGGTGCTCCTACACTCCTGTTGTTCATCAGGGAACTCCTGATACCTCACTAGATCCTCTATTGTGCAATTCGGGTAATCTTATTCAAGGTGATCATGACCTGGTGGAGTCTCAGACTAACATCTTAGTAGGCAAAAACACTGCTCCCATGGAGGTCATTGCCCTTCCTGCAATGAGTGTGGAGCCATTAGACATGAGCCCCATGCATGAAAAATCCAATTCATCTCAGAATGTGCAGCGTCGTCGTTCTGAATTTTATTCTATTTCTGAAGTTGAAGCACTGGTCCAAGAGGTTGAGAAACTTGGAACTGGAAGGTATGTTTTAGAAAACAAAGCTGTCAACTGCAATCTCTGGTTGGATCATCTGAACTTGCCCTTTGGAAAAAAAATTAACAAATGTATTGTTCTGAGACGTCAAAGCTAGATTGTGCATGTGCATACAAAAACTGGACTCATCAAAGCCTAAATTTCAGCAATTTTTTTTTCTCAAAGTATGTCAGATTTCTTTTCTTTTATTCTGCAAGGACTGGATGGATATGATCCTAAATTAGTTGTTTGAAATTTGCAATTTTTTGGGCATATTATTCCCTATATTGCGATTTGTAAAGTTTCAATCAGTAATTCTATTCTGCAGATGGAAAAAAATTAGGGAACAAGCTTTTGGAAATGCCAGTAACCGGACACATACGGATTTGAAGGTGAGGACTTCACTATAACTTTCCATGCTTGCTTGTGGATTTTAATACGTGTTTTGTTGGATTTGTGGCTGTTACTTTGATGAGGCTATTTGATTATCACTCGACTCTTTGTCTTCTTCCCCTCCTTGCAAAAAGAATGAAAAGGAAGAAGATGAAGATTTATTTTCAGAGTAAAAAAAGAGGTTCACTGCACTCTACCAAGTAACATAATTCCCAATTTAAAAATGAAAAAGAAATAAAAAAGAAGAAAAAAATTTACCAATCCCTTTCCATGCATAATAACAATATAACAGCTACTTGTACCTCCAAGTAGGCTCCATTTTAAGCTGCTTATCTCTATCTTCTTGACGTGTGTTGTATCATTTAAAAGTATGCTCACTTGATGTGGTTGGTGAATTGGCATAGGATAAGTGGAGAGCGCTGGTGAAGACAGCCAAAATACCTGTCAATAAAAGGAGAGGAGTGGTTCTCCCACAAGAGCTCTTGGACAGGGTCCTAGCTATTGAAACTCACAGTTCCCGACTTCGAGCCACCCAACACTATTATGATCCCTTTTCTCTCTCATGAACTTTACCTAAAGAACTGGAAGATGCTAGAAAGAGGGAGGGAATCGATGAGTTTAGAGCCTTGATAAGGGAAAAAATTGATAATTTAGAGATATTTCTCTAATTGATTAATTATACATATACAGTGGCAAATTTGTTACGTGATTAGTTTTTGGTATAGGATAAATTGAAGGATTAAAAGAGTGCAGGAAAACTTCACCATAAACTCAATTCAACTTGGCAAAACCTTAAATAATTGGAATGCTAGATAAATTTTGTTTTTGTCATTTCACTTTGTCAAGTTCGATTACTTCAGTTTATCGTGCTTTGTCGTGTTTTTGTTTAGTATTTCAACCCAATTGGTTTTGTGTTCCCTCACCCCTCCTTTCTCCTACAAACTTCCTCACTGGTGTAATTGTTAACATTTGTTGTATGTGCTCTTGACATTTGTCTATAATTTCTATAATTATGATTGTTGTTAATATTTAGTTTCATTTGTACCGTAATTTCGATTGTTATCTTATTTGATTTATTTTGTTATGAAGTCACTAATGTTCATTTCGCTTTCATGTGAGGAGCGATACATTGATACTTGTTCTAGAATAGATTTTCATGTAGTAGCAAAATAATAATAACAAAAATAATAAATTTTAAGAATCTCATGGTTTTATTATACCTGCCTTAATTACTAGTGTACAGGTTCATTTGAATAAAGTCTTGATGACCAATGCCAATTTATTATTGTTCAGTGCTTATTTGATTATAAAGGTTATTACCTTAGTTTTGTAAAAAGATATATTATAATATTAAAGACTTTCAATTTAAATAATTCTTAAATTTATAATGACATGCCAATAGAGTTATGCCTTGCATGGTTGAATTGGTGAGTAACATTAGTAGAAACTTTTAGAAGTTTCAAGGTTCATTTGTGTATCACTTATCTGGGCCTGAGATTATTATTATTATTATTATTATTATTATTTTTAAAAACAAAATCAACTACAAGATATGGGTGCTTTGTCTTTAATTGTTTAATTCTAGGCATAATATACATCAAGAAACATTGTACGAATATACATTATGCATGTTCCACACATGGTTTAGTACTTATAAAATTATGCTGTCCTGTCCCCCATTTTGTTCGGAGTCATAAGAACTTAGGGTTCATTTTGGAAGAATCAAAAACAGATAAAAGTGAACTTTTAAATTATTTTGAATTATATTATTTTTTACATTTTTTATACGTCTTTTTAAAACATAATTAAAAAAATTAAAAAGTTAATTTTTAATCATTTTCATAAAATAGACATTAATAATAAGAATGAATCAGGAATCCAATTCTCCTCATCGGCTAAAAAAAAACTTGTTAAAAATCATGCCCATGCTTCACAATTTGTACTATTTTTGTTGTATTTTTTTGGGATAAGCTAACACGTGCACATTGTATGATGCGTTGACTGTTATTTTAGTATCATCCATTTCTTTGTATCATAAAATAGATTAACGTAAATAAAATGATAATAGAGATTGAGGCCCATTAATTTTTTTTGTTTATTAGGATGGCATATAATGTAGTACTCTAGGACGTTAATGGATGGATTAAAGAAGGTCATGGTGCATGACTGATCAAATTTTTTTTTTTTGCCCCATAGATTTTGTTATTATTTAATTCATGATAGTTTTTTTTGATTGAGTGGTAGACAGAACAATTTTCTTTTTCGAGTGTAGGAATTTTCTAATCTTTGTTTGGTTTCTGAGAAACCCAAGTCGGTCTTGTATCCATTTCAATTTTCTACTCTTTGTTAGATTGCGGAAGTTCATGATTGTGCTGACCTTCGTAAATAATCTCAATTATTTGCCCATCACAATCACTTGCCTTGACCTGTTTTTGGCCATATTTTTGCAGGTTTGTCAATGGCAGCGGAGGGAAATAGTAATTTTTTATTGTGTTAGAATTATTTATTTTGATAATTTATTTAATTATATTTTTAATTTATTTGGAAGAGAAAAATAGAATTAACATTTATTTTGATAATTTTATGTTTTAATTTATTTGAAAGAGAAAAATAGTATCAAAATTTATTTTGTCTCATTATTTCTTACTTAAAACTTTTATCCTAAATGTTATTAGAATGTATTTAATATTTAATTAAATCAGAGGTTCAAACAGCCCAAAACAAAAGTTCAAATAGCCCAGCACAGCAGCAGGACAAAATGTTCAAGTGGAAAATATTCAAATTAGTAATGATGGAGTGGAAGATATTCAAATGAATACAACGACTATAAATTCAAATGAATACAATGGCTAATAAATTGTCAGAAACGGCTATAAATTCAAATGAATACAGCGGTTATAAGTTTCATTATATATACCAAAACCTCTAATGTAAACAAGTTACAAAAAAAATCAGAAAATATTATTTAATCTATAATCACTCACATCTATTCTCTGAAAAATTCTCTGAGAAGTGTTCTTCAATTTTTGTTTATATCCTCTTTCAGAAATTATACACTGAGACATATAGCTTTAAGCCCATCTTTCCTGTGTGAGGATTACAGAAAAATCAGAGTCTCATTTTTATATCTATCTTTGAGAGATAATTCTTGTAGTTTTCTGTGAAAGCAAAAATACTTTCTTTTCAATCTTGTCTGAGTGTAATACACTCAGTGTTCGTGACTTAGAAAGTTTGTGTAAAATTTGTGCAGGATTGCTCAATCTGTGAAAAGGTTACTAGCATCCTATGAAGCTAGAGTATAGTGAAAAATCTCAAGTGAAGCTTGAGGAGTGGACGTAGGCCGAGTTGAAACTGAACCACTATAAATTTGTTTGTCTCTCCCTCCCTTATTTCTTTATTTTATTTTAAATTGCCATAACTATATTTCACATTTTCACTGTACTGAAATTATTAACTGACATAGTTGTTAGAACACTTGTTTTAATTATTTTTATTTCATTAACTATATTTATCTATTGTGCTAGTCATAATTTTTATTAGGGTATTATTATTTTTATTTGTAAAAACCTAATTCACACCCCTCTTAGATTGTCTTTTGGGTAACAATTGGTATCAGAGCCTAGACTCTTGTTTTAGATTTAACCATCTGGGAGTTTCGATCTATGGCAACCTTAGCTTAAGGACAAGCCACAAATAGGCCATAATTGTTTGACGAAAACAACTATAGTCATTGGAAGGATAAGATGAACTTATATCGATAAGCCACTAATTATGCCATGTGAATTATTGTCACAAAAGGTCCAAAAATTCCTACCAAATTAGTAGATAATATTAGTGTACCTAAAACTGAAGATAAATGTGATGAGAGTGATCATAAATTATTGCAAGCCAACGTTAAAGCCAAACTCACCCTTATTTGTGGATTAGACTCTAAGGAGTATAATAGAATTTCAAGTTGTGATTCGGTAAAAGAAATTTGAGACAAACTTGAGGTAACATATGAAGGTACAAACCAAGTGAAGGAATCTCGTATTGATATGCTCGTTCATAGTTATGAATTATTTAAAATAAATTCTGATGAATCTATTTTAAGTATGTTTACTAGATTTACTGAAATTGTAAACTCTTTGAAATCTCTTGGTAAAACTTATACTAACAGTGAGTTGGTGAGAAAAATTCTTAGGTGTTTACTAAAGAATTGGGAAGCAAAGGTCACAGCCATTATAGAAGCCAAAAATCTCTTCACACTTGGATTGGATGAGCTTATGGGTTCCCTTATGACTCATGAGATCACTATGAAAGAACATGAGGATGTTGAAAACAAAAAAAAAAAATGAAATTACATTTAAAACTTCATCAAATAAAGAAGAACATGAAAACTCCAGTAAGGATAAAAGCTATGCCATGTTTAGTAGAAATCTCAAAACACACTTCAAGGAAAACAATTATGGAGGAAGACGATCTTTCAAGAAAGAATACAACAAAGATAACAAGAAAGAGTCTATTATTTGCTATGAGTGCAAAAATCCTAGACATATGAAGACGAATTGTCCAAAATTGAATAATTATGAAAAAGACTACAAAAGAAATAAAAAGGCCATGATAACAGTTTGGGAAGAAAGTAAAAATGAAAGCTCAAGTGATGAAATTGAAAATGAAGTAGCCAACTTATATCTCATGACTCTTGAAGATGAAGACTCTACTCAAGATGAGATAACTACTCTTTATGAAGAATTTGAAAGTGCATTCCATGAACTACAAGATGAATTTAAAAAAGTTTGTGCCAAAAATAATGTGTTGAAGAAATCTGTTGCATCTTTATCTATTAATGTAGAAAAATTAAAGAAAGAAAAAATTGTTTTGAAAAATGATTTTGATACTATCTTTAATGAGAAAACTATTTTAAAAAACAATATTGATGATTTAACAAAAACACTTGAAAATTTTGTAAAAGGTATAAATAATCTCAACATGCTTCTTGGAAATCAAAGATGTGTTTTCGATAAAACATGCATTGGATATGACCCTATTAAAAAACAAAAGAATTTCAATACAATTTTTGAAAAGGCACCTCTCATGACTCACCGTCATATAACTTGTTATTATTATAGAAAGAAAGGTCATTATATATCTTCTTATCTATTCAAAAATAATATAAACATGGAAATTAAAAAGATTTGGATTATTAAGGGATCTAACAAAACTAACCAAGAAGGACCCAAGAAACTATGGGTATCAAAAACCAACACTTGATTGTCATCTTGTAGGTTTGTTTTAAGTCCAAAGCTAAAAAAGGAAAGTGATACCTTGATAGTGGATGTTTCAGATACATGACCGGAGATAAATCCTTCTTTACTACACAGTCATCCAAAGATGGAGGCTTTGTTATTTTTGGAGACAACAAGAAAGAAAAAATCATCGGTATTGGTAGTATCGGTATTTCTCTTAACCCTTCTATTGAAAATGTTTTACTTGTTGATGGACTTAAGCATAATCTACTTAGTATTAATCAATTATGTGATAAAGGTAGTCGAGTTATTTTTGATAAATCACATTGCACAATTGAAAACACAAATGATCATAAAGTTTTACTCGTTGGTAATCGTCACGATAATGTTTATGTTTTTCATCTCAATGATCTCTATGCTAGTGATGTTAAATGTCTATATGTTAATAATGAAAATAGTTGGTTATGGCATAAAAGACTTGGTCATGCTCATATAGATTTAATTGCTTAACTTTTGAGAAAGGATTTGGTCGTTGGACTTCCAAAAATTAAATTTGAAAAAGATCATCTTTGTAGTACTTGTCAACAAGGAAAACAAACTAAAATATCGTTTAAATCAAAATCTCACATTTCCACAACTTAACCTTTACAACTACTGCATATGGATTTATTTGGTCCCTCAAGGACATCTAGTCTAGGTAGTAAACATTATTGTCTTGTTATTGTTAATGATTATTCAAGATTTATATGGGTTATGTTTTTAGCACACAAAGATGAAATCTTTTCTTCTTTCACAAAACTCTGT